ATATATATATATATATATATAATATGGGGTAAGTTAAAAATTTGTAGCATCTTATATTATATAAAATAAAAGTTAAGAGAGTAGCATGAAAGACACGTGGTGTGTTGACGAGTTTTTCCAAGCCCCAAGGCAGCATGGGAATTGGGTGGGGTTTGGTTTTATTCCGGGACTCTCTTACCCTATCCTCGCTACCAAACAGACTCACTGTCCCCACATTAATTGCACTCTGCAAAACTTAACCCCATCTATTTTCTTTTTTCTTACAAAATCACTGTCCCCACATTAATTGCACTCTGCAAAACTTAACCCCATCTATTTTCTTTTTTCTTACAAAATCAAATTTATCAATTATTAAGTTTCATTTCCACTACTTTTCTTTTTTAAAAAATTGAAAAAATCCCAATTCCCAAATTAAATAACTAAAATATACATTTTAGATAATTGATTGTTTTTTCCAAAAAAAATCCCAATTCCCAAATTAAATAACTAAAATATACATTTTAGATAATTGATTGTTTTTTCCAATGAAAAAAATAATAATTTTTGAAGAATTTATATAAAAAGTTAATTATTAAGAAATATTTAATAAATTTGTAAAATTTTAATTTTTTTTACCCAACATTCTAATTTATTTATTTTTATCGGAAGTCTATAAAATTTTGCATTATCTTAGGTAGATAAAAAATGTGTGTTTTTTTTAATGTTTTTAATTAACCCTCGAATAGATAAATATCACAAAAAAGGTAAAAATAAAAAAATAAAAAAATAATGGAGGATGGGGTAGGATCAGGTGGGGTGTGGCTCAAGGGAATAAAAATAAAAAAATAAAAAAATAATGGAGGATGGGGTAGGATCAGGTGGGGTGTGGCTCAAGGGAATGATAAGGTGCACCTCTCATAGGGAATTGAAGAAAAACAGGGGAGTACTTGAGTGAAAAAGTAGGTGGGTCCCACATCAATCAGTTATTTTAAATATAATAATTTAATTTTTTTTAAAAAAAAAGACATGTGGGGCCCGCATGAGGGTTCATCATGATCATCATGTGACATCTCCAGCACTCGATTGGGAACCGATTCTGAGTCTGGATCTCTTCCGTCCTTTTCTTTTCTTTTTAAATAATAATAATTTTAAAAAATAAAATAAAAATAGACAGGACACGTACAAGAATTCGTGTCAACGCCGTTAGATTTTCAAGACATTTTTAAAAAAAAAAAAAAAAAAAAAAAAGACTTGTTTGTTTCGACATTGCCCTATACCTTGTCCCGAACTGGAACGCCCCACTATCCCTGTTACCAAACATCTCCAAATTTCCATCCAACGGTCACAAATCAATTTGGGACATAAAATTGATAGATTCCTTATGTGGGAAATTGTTAAAACAAGACAATTCTGTCCCTCTCCTCTTTCATTTTCCCCTCATTCATATGCTAACATTATCCTGTCCCATTTTTGTTGTTTTTATTTTCTGAAAACCATATCCTTACATTTTAAATTTATATATCTTACCCTTTTATTGTATGGATATTTATTTTCTGAAAACCATATCCTTACATTTTAAATTTATATATCTTACCCTTTTATTGTATGGATATGATTCACATAATATACCCACATTATTTTAATCCCATATTAATATAAGAAATTGCCTAAATGCAATGCTCTAAACGAGTCCCGTTTTCAATTATCACGTGATTTGAACATGTCAATTTACATAAACGAGAGAGCACCTAGCGAGCGAGGAGTGTTGTTGGTCTCACCTCGTGTGCCTCTTAAGGTTGACCTGGTCTAATCGAAGATAGCTAGCTCACTAAAGTTTTTCACCTCCCGTGCGTCTTGGTCTAATCGAAGTCAACCGACTCACAAACCCATTTAAAAGCTTATTTTTTTAAGAGAAAAATTGGATCTTTTGTAGAAAATAATGGACTCACAAACCCATTTAAAAGCTTATTTTTTTAAGAGAAAAATTGGATCTTTTGTAGAAAATAATGTAAAAATGAAAATATTGTAGGGAGGCAAAGCAAGCAAGAAAATGGGAATTTAGAATCTCCTTTATTGTTGTTTATATAACATAAACATATAAACACTTATAAACATGGCGTCCCAAAAAAAAAGGAAAAAAAGGGCAAAGCTTAGCTCACTACCATTTCTCCATGCTTCCCTTCCAAACATCTTAATTTGATTATATATATATATATATCTATAATTAACCCTCTTTTTTTGGCTTAATGATATAATTAAAGACTCTAATCCAGCTTCAAATTCCAAAAAAGCAGGAAAAAAAACAAGCAAAATCAACATCATACACAATCAAGTAGCTTAGTATAAGAAGAAGCAGAGTATAATGAAGATTCCGATCTTGAAATTCCGGCGGCACATGTTTCACATGATGTTACAACTTGACGGATTCTCGTCGCTGAAATACGTGTAGGGTTCTGGCTGCTGCGGCGGTGGATATGGGTGGTGGTACGGTGGTGGGTATGGATATGGGTATGGGTACGGCGGTGGCACGTAATTTACGGCCGGCGGTGGCCGTGCGTACATCATTGGTTGGTGCCCAAGCGCGTGTTGTTGTTGGTTCATCATTTGGGCCATGTGTTGTTGTTGCTGTTGCTGGTGGTGGTGGTGGTAGGGGTTTGTGGAAATGCTGTCCGGTATAAACCTCCCGGCGCTGCCTCCACCGTTCATGGCTGCCGCCGCTGATGCGGGAAGACCTTGCACCGCTGGAAGATTGTTCATTTGACCCATCGGCCGGTCACCCATTTGACCCAAATTTGACATTCCCAATCCATGAGCACCGATGAAGCTCTGTAAATCATGGCCCATTCCATTTGACCCACCGGTCATCTTTTGACCGCCGTTCACCCCGTTACTACTACCATTTCCACCGCCGTTGCCGTTTTTGCCATTGCTCACACCGCCGCCGCAGCCGCCGCCCTGCTTTTGGTTACTCCCACCTCCACCGCCCTGCTTTTGGTTACTCCCACCTCCACCGCCGCCGCCACCATTTCCTTTACCTCCTCCGCCGGTAACATTCTTCCCATTGTTATTACCCTGAACCGGCACAGCTCCGCCGCCTTTCTTGGCATTACCACCGCCGGCCGGACCATTCACAACCGGGGGAAGGTTTCCATTCTCCGCCGCCTTTCTTGGCATTACCACCGCCGGCCGGACCATTCACAACCGGGGGAAGGTTTCCATTCATCATCATTTTCGGAATCTGGCCATTTCCCATCATGGGTTTCATCTTACTCGCAGGAGGGAGATGAAGATTACCCAAATCATCATCAAGTTCATCTTCATCATCATAATCATCCTCATCGTCATAATCATCCTCATCATTCTCATCGCTCAGGTCATCACCTTTCATCATCATAATCATCCTCATCGTCATAATCATCCTCATCATTCTCATCGCTCAGGTCATCACCTTCGTGCAAATTAAACTTCCCACCCTTGGGAAGATTCGCGTTTTGATCTTTAACAGGCAGTTTCAACCCCTTAAAAATTAAACTTCCCACCCTTGGGAAGATTCGCGTTTTGATCTTTAACAGGCAGTTTCAACCCCTTAAATTGGGGTGGAAGCTTCAGATCTTGAAACCCTTTCATCTGTTGTAGCTGCTGAAGCTGCACTGGTGGCAGCCCCTGTCCCTGTCCGCCGCCTTTCGGCTGGTTGTTTCCTCCATTAGCAGCCGCACCCTGGTGGCAGCCCCTGTCCCTGTCCGCCGCCTTTCGGCTGGTTGTTTCCTCCATTAGCAGCCGCACCCTTCTGGTTCTGACCCTTGTTGTTCCCCCCTTTGGCATTGTCAATTTGCATGTTTTTCATCTGATTAGCTATGTTGTTCTGCTGATTCTTGTTGTTGTTCGCCGGTTGCCCGCCCCAAATCTCTGCATGTTTGCCGGATTTAGACAGCTTCTTGATGAGTACGGCGGCGTCGACATTTCCAGTGACTGTAACCTTCCCCTGTTCTGCATCTATCTCGGTAGTGAAAACCCCTAAAAAAAAACACACACACACAAACCCCATCAAACTCGAAGACAAGTAAAAAACAGAGCCGACAGAAACATCCTAAGAAAACAGAGTACCATCGATTTTCTGCAAGATTTTCTTCACCTTTTGCTTACATCCATCGCAGTGAATATTGACCTTCAACACACATTTCTGCAGAACCACTCAAAACAACACAAAAACAGAACAAAATGAACAGACAGTAGCTACAACATTCCATGAAAACAGAACATGTCGAGTAAACAAAGCACCTGGATCTTCAGAAACTCTTCTTTACTCATATCTTCAAGTCAAACAAACAGAGACAGAAAGGAAAAAACAGAGAAGAACGGATCTGGGAAATGTTAATCGGGTTTTCTGCTGTTTGTAGTTCGTGAACCTCTTGGAACTCAACCAAGAAAATGCAGAGAAAGTAAGAATCTTGAGAAGGGAGAGGGAAAAAAAGACTCTTGGAACTCAACCAAGAAAATGCAGAGAAAGTAAGAATCTTGAGAAGGGAGAGGGAAAAAAAGAAGAAACCCAACAGAGAAGAGCGAAGTTCAGAGAGAAACGGAGATGGGATAAATGGGGGCAGAGAAGAGCTGAGAAACGAAGGGGAAAACACCAAAACGGAGAGGCAGAGTACTCTTTTATTTTGGAACTCCGTTTTCTTTTTTTATTAGCCCTTCTCTTCTCCATGAGAGGCAGAGTACTCTTTTATTTTGGAACTCCGTTTTCTTTTTTTATTAGCCCTTCTCTTCTCCATTGGTTGCTGCATTGTACTTGCGGAGATTTCGAAAATCTGAGCTGAGCTGAGCTGAGCTGAACTCACAATTGGCACGGCTGAGTGCGCTGGTTGGGGAGTTAAACTGAGCTGAGCTGAGCTGAGCTGAACTCACAATTGGCACGGCTGAGTGCGCTGGTTGGGGAGTTAAAACGGTGGCGTTTTGATGTGTTATGTTATGATGAGTCCCCGACAAGACTGATTTGTGGGTAAACCTAAGATCGATGTCTCCTCTCTTCCATTCCATGTGCTAATTATTATAATACATCATGTAAAAGAAAACAAAATTCTTTTAAGATTCAAAATCAATTGTTTTGAGGAGGACGGGATTGGACAAGGTAAAAGAAAACAAAATTCTTTTAAGATTCAAAATCAATTGTTTTGAGGAGGACGGGATTGGACAAGAAGTTTACTAATATCTTGATCGAGATAGAATAAGAGGACTACGAGCCTATAACCCAGATAAGCAATCAATAAGCAAGTCAATCGAAGATGAAATGGGTCATCAATGAGGCACATCGAGCCAAGGAGGTATGATTAGGGAGTTGTACAACCAAGTAGCATATTAAATTCGATAGAAATTGTGTTGAAGTTCTTGTCATTGTAATCTATTTGTACAACCAAGTAGCATATTAAATTCGATAGAAATTGTGTTGAAGTTCTTGTCATTGTAATCTATTTGCCTAATTCTCAATATTACTGTAAGATCTCACATTAGTTGGAAAGGGGAACGAATATTCCTCCTTAGTAGTAGACATGTTTTAAAACTGTGAGACTAATGATGGTACGTAACGGATCAAAACAGACAATATGGTGAGATCGGGCTGTTACAAATACATTAGATACACATCTAACGATAACACTGTGGATGATACTATAAATACAGGAGACTGATCCCGCCAATCAAATATGCAATGTTGCCCAATTTACTGTGGATGATACTATAAATACAGGAGACTGATCCCGCCAATCAAATATGCAATGTTGCCCAATTTAAGCTAGACACTGTACTGACTAAGCATCAAAGTGTGTTGAACACAACAATAACATCAAACCCATGTGGGTAATCTTTTTCACGAGTCAACTTGATGCCTCATCCTGTTACTTTAGAAAGCTAATGTAACCTATGACCAAATTCTCGGTATCAAAATATGTGATGTTTGACCACAATGTGATTTAACCCGAAGAGAAAGAATTTGATTAAAAAGTGAATCTTTTCAAAATCTTTATAAGAAAGTGATAATTAATAGGTTTGATTTTTCGATTGTCCCTTTATGATCATTACCCGTGTCCAACCGAAAAAAAGTGCTTCGAATTAAAATCTCTTTAGCCTTTTCAAGACATTACTCCAAAGTACACTACAGTGATAATAGTTTAACGACAACAAATAAGGTTACCTTATATCGGTCGATAAGGTAAGTAATTTGTGAGAAATGGTAAGGTCAAAGTTGACCAAAAAGTTACCATGCACTATCCCTTTTAGGGTACCCACCCCTTGTAAAGGTCACATTGAGGAATAATTGATGGTGGTAGGGAGAGGTAAATTTACCATCCCAAGAATCAAGCTTTTACTTTTTACCCCTTTACTTCAATTCCAAGCAAATTATTACCTCTTACCTCAAAAGCCTAAACTGACATGAAACCCCCAAGTAACTTTTGCCCCTTCTGCCTTTCTTTTCCCCCTCAGTATACATAAAAAAAGGTCTCACTTTGACTGTGAACACAAATTATTGCCAACAACCCTTAACCAAATGCCCGACCACACCGGGCTCCACTCTTATAGGTTTGAAAACAAATCCAAACTTTAAGGCTACTACCGGTAGATATGGTATGTTTTAGCTCATACGTAGGGGTCGACGCATCTACTAGGGAGAGGTTTCCCACCCTTATAAGGAATGTTTCGTTCCCCTGCCCCTCTGGGAACCCAGCGTCCTCACTAGCACACTACTCGAAACCTGGCTCTGATACCAACTGTAATAGCCCGAACCCACTGTTAGCAGCTTCATGGTTTTAAAATGCGTCTACTAGAAAGAGGTTTCCACATCCTTACAAATTGCATCGACTTACCCAGCAGCATTTCATCACATGAACACCACATGTCCAATAAATAATGGTTCATAAATGAAGAAGCAAATGAAAAGGCCATTTATAGCATGTTACCAACAATGTCAACCTTGCATACGACAGTCATGTATCATTCAAAAGAAAAAAAGACAAAACAAAGAGGTTATCATATGGGGAGAACCTCACTCAGATGCATCCCCAGGTTAACTCAATCACTCCCTATACGTAAACTACAAACCCGAATCCAATTCTTGTAATCAAACATTGACACACCGCACACGAAAACCTATGAATGTTGAACGTTCATATACATACATTACAATAGAAAGTCAGCTAAGAGATGACGGGTATGGCGTTATTCAATAGTTAGACATGATATCGAGGTATGAAGTCGGGAATACTACACTAATATGATGTATATGAAGAAAAAGAAATATACATGTGTGTGTGTGTGTGTAAAAGAATGCAGTATGTGTGACTATGACACAAAAAACAAAGAATTTAACAGCCATACCATGAAATCCAACGTAGGATGAAGAGGTAATTCTCATTGATTGCTATAATTTATCTTGATTTCTATAAGTTCTTCGATCGGTTGACGACAAATCGGACATTTATTAGATTGAAGCTTCAGTTCCTTGGCACACTCACTGCACATGCACTGCAAATGAACACACAGATTTTGAAATCAAATGAAGCAGATAGATTATCGAAGTTTCGTCGAATGCTTGCCATGAATAAACACGCAAATGGAGCCTTACCATATGTCGGCATGGTAATACAGCAGTATCCTTGGGTTCGGTCATGCAAATCACACACTCCTTCCCGGAGTCGTTATTGTCAAAACCTTCTGAAGACGAACTCCCTATACCGAATATCTCACGCAACTCATAACGCATTCCATCAATCCATAGTAGTTGCCGGATCACCTTAACTTGGAAAGGATTGCCATTTTTCTTCTCCAGAACAGCTTGAGTGATGTAGTTGCCGGATCACCTTAACTTGGAAAGGATTGCCATTTTTCTTCTCCAGAACAGCTTGAGTGATTTGCATATGTGAATTATCTGGTTGAGGCTCACCAATTCGTTCATCCTTGGACTGAGAGGGCGAGCAAGTCTCAGCTGCTATAACGAGCGGGAAAACGTCTTCAGAAGGCGAAGGTTTTGAGAGGTCATGAGCAAGTCTCAGCTGCTATAACGAGCGGGAAAACGTCTTCAGAAGGCGAAGGTTTTGAGAGGTCATCCAACTCGAAAAATCCCAAGTCAAAGCCAGTTCCCATAGGCTGAAAGAATTTCTGAGCAGGACCCTTTTGAAATGGGATTTTTACTGGCTTAAAGGCGTCGGGATATATTGGAACAAACCTACAGTTGGGCTCTTCCTTGGCAAAAAATAGGATGGTAATGCTGTTCATCGTGTAAAGAAATTGAATTAGAAACAGGCTCTTCCTTGGCAAAAAATAGGATGGTAATGCTGTTCATCGTGTAAAGAAATTGAATTAGAAACAGTAACAAGAAAGTATATTCAAAACAGCAATTAGGAAGCTGATGACAGAATAAGTACAGTCGAATTTGAAAAAACAAAGTTCAGGTGTGAGCTCCCACGTCGGTTGGAGAGAAAAACAAAACATTTCTTATAAGAGTGTGGAAACCTCTCCCTAGCAAATACGTTTTAAAACCTTGAGGGAAAGTAAAAAAAAAACGATATCTGCTAGCGGTGAACTTGTGTAACAACCCAAGCCCACTGCTAACAGATCTTGTCCGCTTTGACCCGTTACGTATCGTCGCCAGCCTCACGGTATGTTAGAGAGAGGTTTCCACACCCTTATAAGGAATACTTCGTTTCCCTCTCCAACCGATGTGAGATCTCACAATCCACCCTCCTTGGGGACCAATGTCCTCGTTGGCACACTGCTCGGTGTCTGGCTCTAATACATTTACAACAGTCCAAGCCTATCACTAGCAGATATTGTCCGCTTTGGCCTATTATATATCGCCGTCAGCCTCACCATTTTAACATTCATCTATTGGGGAGAGGTTTCCACACCCTTATAAGAATTCTTATCTACCCGATCACTCTTTTTAAGTCCCAAGCTAGACATTCTGAATTGATACAAAAATTGCAGTACTAAAAATTATGACAGGACTCATCTCAATAGAAAGCCCAGGCCTCTAAATAACACATGAAAGCAACTATATGGTACAATAACAGAAGGCAATTGTGAGATTCCACATCGGTTAGAGAGGGAAACGAAACATTCCTTATAAGGGTGTGGAAACTTCTCCCTAGCAGACGCATTTTAGAACCGTGAGGCTGACAGCGACACATAATGAGCCAAAGCAGACACTATTTGCTGACGATGGTTTTACAGCAATAATCAAGATCAATTGCTTGTAAGGACTGTAGTTAAAGGCGGCAGGCATAATTCAGTTTCTTTATACCCCTCATTATGCACAACAAGGTTACAAAAGTTCTAACAGTACCATCAATCTACAAAATGTTGCTTCATGAACACCGAGAGAGTACAAGCAAGCATTGTGAACTTCCAAGCAGCAATGAAGAAATTACATCATGACAAGCATTTTCTACCAAGCCCCTTAACTTAGACTAGCTAAACTAAACCTTAGTAAGGTTTCAGAGAAATCCCCAACTCAAAATGCAGCAATTGAGATCCAAATCATGAACCATTTCAAACAATTTCAAATCATTCAACAGCCACCCACATGCCCAACACAACACTAATTACAAACCAAAACTCAATTAAGTGCAACTCAACTTACCTTCCATCATACAACGCATCAAACACGAAAGAAACCAAATGCTGATCAGGAATCTGCTCATCCACCTCAATCCTCAAAGTATCCTTATGCACATTCACATCATTCCTAACCTTCTTCGCCTGTCGATGCTCCACAAACGGCAAAGACGGTGGCGGAAGCAACGGCGGCACCATCACCGGCCGAATTGGAGACCACCCATTACTCTGATTGGCATAATGAGGGTGGAAATTGAAACGCCCCATCGGAGAGTTCCCATAATTACACGAATTATACCCACCAGAAAAGTAATAGGAGTGAGGAGCAGGGGCAGGAGGAATCGGCGGCAAGGGTATCGGCTGGGGAGTTGGAGTGTAAGGGTGGCTGTGCGGCGGAGGAGGGTGGGAATTGGTGAAGTGATGGGTCTGCGGCGGCGGTGGAAGGGATGTGGGTTCAGAAGGGTAATAGAAGGAGGAAGAAGAATGGTACGGCGGAGGTGGGTTTTGAAGATAATTGTTTCTCAGAAGGGTAATAGAAGGAGGAAGAAGAATGGTACGGCGGAGGTGGGTTTTGAAGATAATTGTTTCTTCTTCTGTTACTCCATGAAATACCCATTTCTGGATTGAGAGATCGGAGAAGAAGAAATAAAATTTTGGGATTTTTCTTTCTTCTGCTCAACAATTGGGAAGAAGCAAGTCCTTGTTCAGCCCATTCCAATTTTGGGATTTTTCTTTCTTCTGCTCAACAATTGGGAAGAAGCAAGTCCTTGTTCAGCCCATTCCGTTGACCTCCGTTTTCTATTTGACGGTTCTACGTTTATCTCATTCCGACGTGTCGTTTCTCAATGCTGAGATGGCAACAACTTTCCTACTTGTCGTCCACGGTGTCCAACTTCATAAATTTCCAATTCCAACCATGGAATTCTGCAAATTAAAAGAAAATAGAATAATCGGGGGATTTTTTTTTTGAATTTTCAAATTTTAAAATAGTGTTTTAAAATCAAAATTCAATCCAAAATTCATGTTTTTCAAACCTAAATTGATTTTGAAATCCCAAAATTTCAAAAATAAAATCTAATTATTTATTTTAAATATTCATAAATAACTTGATTTTGAAATCCCAAAATTTCAAAAATAAAATCTAATTATTTATTTTAAATATTCATAAATAACTTGTCACGTTATATATTTTTAAAATATTTTTATCGACAAATTCAGCCTAAAAATATAGAAAAATTTGAACTTTTCTAAAAGTTTTACGGTCTAGTGCTCTTAATTGAAGATTCCATGATACAGTTCGTCAAACTGTCAAACCACTTTATTTAACTTTAAACCTTTCATTTATAAGGATGCTTTACTCATTTATAGACTTTTACGAAATAGGCAACATCTTCGTCGTTAAACAATTATACTTTTTCTACCAAAAGAACGTAGATTCTTGTAACAACCCAAGTCTGCTAATATTGTTCACTTTAGCCCATTACATACATTCGTCAGCCTCACGATTTTAAAACTTGTCTATTAGGTAGAGGTTTAATCCTTATAAGGAATGCTTCGTTTCTTATCCAATCGAGATTTCCATATACTTATAATGAATCATCCTTAAAAGTGACTAGAAGGCAAAGCGCTTATCCAATCGAGATTTCCATATACTTATAATGAATCATCCTTAAAAGTGACTAGAAGGCAAAGCGAAGAAACGAACAATTCTACCAAACAACAATGCCATCTGACTTTGTTAAATTCCAAACAAAAGAAGGAAACAGGGAAAGACAGTTAGGCAACAGACATTGCAGATATGAAAACACAAGAACAACATTCAGAAGGAAACAGGGAAAGACAGTTAGGCAACAGACATTGCAGATATGAAAACACAAGAACAACATTCATAGAGAAGTTACAAAGTTTCAAAACACAACATGTTTTAGTATAAGAATCAGCAGAAACCGAGCCTCGGTTTTTTCCGAACCGATACGCAACCGCGCTGATGATCCCGAAAGATTCTAATCTCAGAAAAGCCTCGGTTTTTTCCGAACCGATACGCAACCGCGCTGATGATCCCGAAAGATTCTAATCTCAGAAAACTCCCTCAAATCTTCAAGACTGATAAATTGTTGCTTCACCATTCTCATGGAATCACCTCCACTTTCATGTATCCAAACATAAGGTTGGCAAGCTTCATCATAGTAATAAAGCAAGCTCTTCATACTCCTTCCTGGCATATATGCTTTGTAAATGCTAAGCTTCATCATAGTAATAAAGCAAGCTCTTCATACTCCTTCCTGGCATATATGCTTTGTAAATGCTCTTACATTTCAACCTCTTTGAGCATCCTGGCTTCAAACTATGCACCTTTTTCAATATTGACCTACCCTTATCTGCAGCTCGACCGGCCTGTCGCTCAAGTTCCATATACGCGTGCCGAATCCCGACGCCTACCCTTATCTGCAGCTCGACCGGCCTGTCGCTCAAGTTCCATATACGCGTGCCGAATCCCGACGCTTGAGTGTGGTCTCGGCACCCATCGAAACAGCTACCAAGAGGGAAAACACCGAACCCCGGCATTTGAATTGTTGGTTCTACATAAAACCATCAATCCCTCAAGGGGTTTGAACTATATAAATTAGCAGAAACTCTGGTTTTTCCTGTGTTTTTGTGGAAAAGTTGCATCAGATGGCTGTGATTTAAAGGCTATAAGGATTCTGGTTTTTCCTGTGTTTTTGTGGAAAAGTTGCATCAGATGGCTGTGATTTAAAGGCTATAAGGATCAAGTGGCTGAGAGGGCATCTTAAGGGAATATGGATAAGCCCTTCCATTAAGGAATTGGTGGGGCCAATTCAACAGCATGAGAGGAGTTGGGAAAAGGTGGAAGAAAATTGCATTGAAAGAATAAGTTGGGCCAATTCAACAGCATGAGAGGAGTTGGGAAAAGGTGGAAGAAAATTGCATTGAAAGAATAAGTTGTTTTCTAAAAGAAAGTGAAAAAGATTGAAATATTGAAATGGTTTGTGGAGGAAGGAAGAGAAAAGGGAAAAGGGAAATGGTGTAACCACTAAAAGGAGTGGGGAGTTCAAAGCTTCATGATGAGGGGTTGCATTAGCCAATATGATTCTGCTACACCACTCATTATGATATCTTTTTCTTTTGGCTCACTCCACTGTTCATCTTCAACCAGATTCTGCTACACCACTCATTATGATATCTTTTTCTTTTGGCTCACTCCACTGTTCATCTTCAACCACCTTCAATCACTTGCACAAGATTGTGGGTAGATTGATTGTGGAGATTCTCCATTTTAAACTTTTGAAAAGAATCCTTTTCAAAAGTAAAAAGTACTTTGAATTCGTTCGAAATCAACTCAACTACGTCTATTAGTATACATAGCCTATCGCTAGTAGATATTGTTTACTTTGACCCGTTACGTATTACCGTCAGCCTTATGGTTTTACAGCTCAAGCCCACCATTAGCAAATATTGTCTGCTTTGGCCCGTTACGTATCGTCGTTAGCCTCATAGTTTTAAAACGCATCTGCTAGAGAGAGGTTTCCACACTTTTATAAAGAATGTTTTGTTCCCCTCTCCAACCGATATGGGATCTCACAATCCACCTTTCTTGGGAGCTAGCATCCTTGCTAGCACACTACTCAATGTCTGGCTATGATACCATTTATAACACCCTAAGTCCACTGTTAGCAGATATTGTTCGCTTTGATCTATTACATATCGTCATTAGTCTCACGGTTTTAAAATGTGTCTGTTAGAGAGAAGTTTCCACACCCTTATAAGGAATGTTTCGATCCCCTCTTCAACTGATAAGGGATCTCACATATCTACTACATTAGGCTGACTCGATTAGAGTATTACTATTGAAGCACGATCCCAAAGGTCATTAACTTCCTCTCTTGGTTTGAAGGAGGGAAAAAAATGTTATAGCAACCAATATTGTACATAGAAAAATGATCATATGTCTAAACAAGTTCAACAAATGAGCTTCTTTTTCTTCTTCTCCAACTGAGCAGCACTCAACTTTTAGTTGGGAATTGAACAGATAGCAATAGGGGTTGGTGGAGACAAAAAGTAAAGGCTCCAAGAAGCAAGGTTTCCAAGTCTGTGTTCCCCACTTCGGCTGGATTCAACATCTCCCAATTGGAAGATGGTTAAAGAATGAATCTCTGTTTACATTCTCAAAAAATTCTGTACACAACCATTAAGAAGCTTCAATCATTCTCTATACTATTGTTTGAATTTGATCATAGTGTCCTTTACGTTTCAAAACTACCCTTGTAGTAGAAATTCATTTGAATGTTGAACCGAAAAACAACATGATAATGACCAACAACGACCTGATGATTTAGACGCTTGTCTAGATGAAGTCTGAAAAGACTACGTTCTGTCACGTTGACTTTTCCTCAAGCATTCTAATAAGTTTTCTATTTATGAAGTTCAACTGTGTTTTTTATAATTTAGCAATACTATATCTATCAAGAACGCAAGAACTGAACGTTCTTTCCTAGTAATACGATACAGAAAAGTTCAAGAACTGTCTATAGTTATCATATATTCATCTCCAATCACAAGACAGAAGCTAAGCTAGGTTTCTACCTAAGTTATGGAACTGTACAGAGATATTACAAACCACAAGCTCTTAAACAAGTTGATATCAGTAGCTGTGGAGTGAATCAGAATGGTTCGTTGAGGACATGGCCTTATCATTTTTCTTGGTTATCTTCGGTTGGGTCTATCTTGATTATCAGAGGCTGCTTGAGATCTAGAGGAGCCTCTACAACCAGTAGCTGACCAGACACGACATCGTCGTAATCTTCCTTTTCGGCCAGCGCTTTATCTAGAGCAGCCTTGGCGACTTTTGTAATGCAAATTATTAGAACCACTGTAATTCAAAGAAAAATGTTTCAAGGCTTTCCTTGGATGCTAAGCTTGTGCAGGATGAATGTTTGTGTTTTAAGTTTATTCCAATGCTCTATTTAGCAGCTGAATGCAATAGATAGAGAAGGAATTTTTGCTGTCATTTTCTTAGTTCCATGGTGTCAAAAGGGTAATAATCTTGACTCCCACCTACCCAGCCAAGGCTAGGGATGACAATAGAAAAGAACTTTCATTAAGAAAAAAATGGAAGACTGCACGGGCCTAAAAAAGAACCAAAGTCCACAAAATGGAACCCGACTAGGGAAGGGGGCTCCAATCAAGCAGAATAAGAACTAAAGTGTAACAGCCCAAACCCACTGCCAGTAGATATTGTCCTCTTTAGGCTTTCCCTTCCGAGCTTTCCCTCAAGGTTTTAATATGCATCTACTAGGGAGAGGTTTCCACATTCTTATAAAGAATGTTTCATTCCCCTCTCCAACTGATGTGGGATCTCACAATCCACACCGGGCGGTGTGCTAACGAGGATGCTAAGCCCTGAAATGGGTGGACACCAGGTGGAATGCCAACGAGGACGCTGAGCCCCAAAGGGGGGGTGGATTGTGAGATCCCACATCGATTGGAGAGGGTAACGAGTACCAGCGAGGACGCTGCGCCCTGAAAGGGGGTGGGTAGATTGTGAGATCCCACATCGGTTGGAGAGGGGAACGAAACATTCTTTATAAGAGTATAGAAACCTCTCCCTAGTAGATGCGTATTAAGACCTTGAAGGGAAGCCCAGAAGAAAAAGCCTAAAAAGAACAATATCTGCTAGTGAATTTGAGTCGTTACATAAAGAATAATTATAACATGAACATGACATTGGCGCTTAAAGAGAAACATAGAATCTAACTTTCAAGATGCCTTGCTCAAGGATCATATGGGGAACACTTCCTTGACTGAGGAATGTGAGCATGTGCGTTATAAGAAGCTAAATATCGGATCATATGGGGAACACTTCCTTGACTGAGGAATGTGAGCATGTGCGTTATAAGAAGCTAAATATCGTTATACATACGAGTTGGCACTTACCAGATATCGAAAGACCCAACACGAGAAATGCCTGCATTCACGAAATATCAAATTTACATCAT